TGCTAATAATCATGGATGTACTCGCAGATAGGTAGGCTTATACAGCTATGCTCAGTTGATTAGGTGCATCACCATATCTGTGAAGAAATGGAAGATTATGAGAGTTTCACAATTAAACGTCAGAAACAGCATACTAGAGGCTGTAAGTATTATAAGCCTTTGCTCATTAATGGCTCTATTATTCTCCTTAAATGTCATTTCGGGTATAACAATCATAATTAAATTAGTATCTCATGGACGCTTCAGTGGTGTAATTCACCAATTTACACTTTTTTGTTTGAATTTCATTTCGTGAACTGAATCGACAGATTTTCTACTTATAACTCAAAACACTAGTCATCACTAGTTTAAAGCGAACTAATAATTAATTCATTTACAACTAATTAGATGAAATTGTAATTGCATTAAAAAATATGCGGATATAATTATGTTAATTCATGGACAGAATAATAGGTGGGAGCATATTTTTTTCAAAACCGGCTTGGCTTTCATATATATTTTAAGGTTTATTAAAGAAATTGTTAGTTTTCAATATAAACATATTTCAGCGTTAACACGAATGATGAAAGGCTTTTCAAACTATAAAAAATAATTAAGCATTTGGTTAATTCATAAAATACAAATGTTTTCAGTTGGACAGAATAATAGGTGTGTTCAAGAAAAATTGTAAAGAATATTGAAATTTTGTATATAAATTGGATTCGCAGCACCTATTTAAATGCCTGCCACTGTCCATTGGCCAACTCAATGTTATTTACACACATGTTGCATTTGCAGAAAAATGTGTGCTTTTAGCACGTACCGCTCGTGCAAACATTTAGTCGCAGAGACGACAAATTAGGCGACCAACTATCGAAATGAGGAAAGGAATGAATCCCTCTCCCGATATTGTCTCGCTGGCTGCTTTGTTACGCCTCACAGAGGCAGGCAGACAAACAAACCAAGCAAGCAGCCAACAAACCAACAAGCATCTGTAGGTAGCAGACATTTTTATGCTTATGTTAGACAAACAACAGCAGCAGCAGCAACAACAAAAACAAAACGCGCAAAAGCACATAAACTAAGATAACAGGCAGGAACGGGAGAAGCAGAAACAGAAACAGCAACAGCAACAACAGACAGTCAACAGACAGCAGCCAAAGATTTCTTAACAGCAGCAATAATAACAGCAACAACAACAAGAGCAATATAAAGAACAAATGCACTTCCTGTTATTATTGCGTGGCAACGTTTTTGTTGTTGTTTTTGTTGCGCTACGATGCCGCAACTTCAACACGTTAGTGGCGCATTATGAGGCATGCCTGTGTGTCTGGCTCTGTCCCTATGTGTGTGCGTGTGTATGTAAATGCGTCTGTGTTTGCTTAGGTGCACACAAATATGTGTGCGTATGTATGTGTGTGTGTGTGTGTGTGTGAGTGCGCGTGTGCGTACGATTTCAACGCCAGCAGCACTTTGCTGTTTATTTACACAGCCTTCTTCTTCTTCTTTTTCTTCCATAAGCATAAATTGCAGACGCCCACGCAGGCAGACACACGCACACATATACACACACACACACACACACACACACTTACATACCGATACACGCACCTACGCCAAATTAAGAGCATATCAGACAACCATAATTGAGAGAGCTCACGATTTTCTGCTGCAACTGCAACACGAGCCCCAAAAGCAACTACAACGCCAGCCAAAACAACAAAGAAATATGCAACAACTTTCCAGCACTGGCACAATTTTTGTTGATCCCTTCAAATCTGTGGGTGAGGCTTCGCTATAGTCAACATACATATATAGTGAGGCAATTTTGATTTTTCGATTTTTCGATTTTTAGAATATGGACTACCATTTGATAATTAAAACACAAATCAAAAAGTGAACCTCAATTGTATTTAGGAAACTTACAAAAAAAAAATTAACGTAATACTACGTAGCTTCTAATTTTTTACTTTTTCTGCTTAAAATATAAGCCCTAACGAGAAAATGATGGTTTCCAGTGAAAGCATACCTTGTAATAAAAAAGTAGATTAAATGCAAAACAAGAAAGTGTTTAACAAATACTTATTATGTCTAAAAAAACTTCATCCCATCACGCAGATGTATTGAAGAAATATGTACAAATTTGTGCATTATATATACTTTCTAATAACACCGATTTAAATGTTAAATTAAATTGTTACAGCTCATGCTTTTACCTAAAGTTTGAATTTGCTTATAGCAAGTACTAAATAATTTCTGGATTTCGAAGCTTACTAGTTATTTTAATATTAGGAGCTGCAGAGAAAGTAATACAAGTTTTTTAACACCACCATCAGCCTTAATTCTTTTACTAATAACATTAAAAATTGAAGCTGCAACAGAATAAACTCTTTATTCCCCCTTTGATCATTAGGATCAGATAGTTTATTAATTTCTACTGTTAATTTTGCTTGAATTTCGATTTCACATCAGTTGTATATTTTATTATAACTGCTAGTAATACACAATAAATAGGAATTAAATGAGAACAAAATTATAGGATCTATTGTAATTAAAGTTTTATAATTACTTACAATAGGATCTATTGTAATTATAGTTTTATAATTACTTTATCTTTAATAGATGACCAAATTGTATTTTTTTTATTGACCCAACATTATAGACTTCACTCCTTGATTCAGGATTTATTTTGATTCTTTACCCGGAAATTTGTAAATGGTTTATTTAATTTTACCAAAACTTTGAATGTTTCCTCATTTTAAATACAAGAAGGAAAAAAATATAGAAAGCCGCATTCACGATTTGTGCATTGAAACCACCCCAAAACTGTGATAAAATCAAGAACATCTGTTCTAATTTCATTAAAATATTCGCACATGGCTGCAATATATATATATATGTATGTTCATCAACCAGCCGAGTCAAATTTGTTAAATGCAGTGTTGTATTTCCTATAAAGCAGTATTTATTTATATTTTCTTTTTACACTTTATGCCATTCTTTTTAATTTTATTGCAACTTTCTAAGTCGGCTTTGACGATTACGCACTGTATTCAAGGTATTCCTTTTTTTAGTTTTTGGTCGATTTTTGCAAACAAAATCTTTTAAACAAATCGGCATTAAGTTTAGCCCGTTGCTGGTTTGCCAAAACTTGTGCTCATGCAGATTTCTACTTACCTGTTCTGCGTTTTCCTTTTATTTATTTATTTTATTCTCTGCTTTTTCACTTTCTGCGGTAGTGTAGTTAGTACGGGAAACTAGGAATGTGTGCGTGGTTTTGCTTTACATTTACTTAATTTTCTCTGGAAGAATAATAATGGAGGGAAATGTGTGTTTACTTTGCTGCAACATATTTTTGCTTAATTAAATATTTTGTTGGCTGCCAACGGAAATTCTTCAGAGTTTTTTTTGTTGTTTTTTTTTCATTCTGTGGTTGGATGCAAAAAAAGAAAAAATTGTTTGTGGCACATAAATTTGATGCTTCATTTAATTTGCATGCGCACAACTATGGACTACAGGTTCTCTGGTTTGTTTGTGAAATTTTAATAATTAGGAGCTGCCAGCAGTCGCAACCCTTTGCCAATTGCTGTACAATTTTACGCACACGCTCAAGTATTTTGGGATTTCATCATTTGAATTAGCACACTGTAGCCATGACGACTGGAACAATGGTCAGTTGGCAGACAATGCACCAGAGATAAAACATCGTGGCAGGGATAGCAGGTAGAAGACAAAGAGACAGAGCAAGAGAGCTTATACTATAAATGGACAAAAGTCTCTGCACATTGCTATCCGCTTTCAATAAATCTACGAAACTTAATTTCCGGCTGAATGATGTTAGAAGCAGCATCAGCACCAGCACTAGCACCAGCAGCGACCAGCACCCCCTCTCCTCGGGAACTGCCCCCATCTCTTCATTCCACAGTAATTTTTCACCTTAAAGCGCTTTTTGTAATTACTTTTCAGCTGTTGCCTTTGCACAGGTTCTGCTCTGCTGTTGTTGCTGTTGTTATTGCTTTTAATAAAGTTTATCTAGCAGCTCTGCTGGCACTTTATAGTATGATGTCCTTACATTCTTATCGACATGCAAAATTTATGTTTGTCTCCGCTGGCTCCCCATGGGCGAGCAAATATTTTTTGAAGTTAATTGAATTTGAGGCAAACCCAATGAGATGCTCTGGTAAATTTGTTGGATGCCCGGCGTCCGCCGTTCGTTAAAATAATTTCTACTTAGATTGCGACGGACATGGCGGCTTTTAGTTGGACTTTTAGTTTGGACTTCTTCTACAGTCGATAATGGCGTCTTAATTGTTCGCGCAATGTCAAAAGGGCGTTAGTTTAAAATGAAGCGCGACTAAAAATCCATAAAATGGCCAGACCATGTGTTGGTACACTCGAAAAAACTCGACGTTCAGAAAGTTCATTTAATTTCGTTTTAGAAGCGTTTCAAATATGATATGATTTTTCATATATGATAGATTTGTGATTTCTTTTATGAGGAAACAAAGAAACAACAGAATAGTCCGCTTTTTCAACATACTTAAAAATTTAAGCAAAAAAATGTGCATCCCTGCTTTTCCAGCTCGATGAAAGTATGGAGAATGGAAGTTCCGAAAAACGGCGTTGATTGCGAAATGCTTACTAAATATATTAAATAAGTCAACCATTCTTCTTCATAGAACAAATTTCTGAACTTTGTTAGTATAATCGACTTCTTTAGCGCAGTCTCAGGCCTATGTCTAGCTATTATTATAAGTGTCATTAACTTTTACATATTTCCTGCCTTTCTCTGAGTGTAGGGATAAGTGACAGCTGGTGACCATGTGGAACTGGTTTTGACTTTTATATTCGTGATCTGAACTCAAGTGTTAGATGAGGAAACCCTAAATGGCGGTAGGACCCTTCGAGTGGTGTCATTTAGCTGTGCCCTCAAGGGTTGCTCGTCTTACAACAATTGAAACTGCAAATGTACTTTTTTTAACCTTGACTCTCATTATCTGTCTGTCTTCTTTTTCCACCAGGTGAAAATCCACGCATCATCGAGCATCCCATGGATACAACGGTGCCAAAAAACGATCCATTTACGTTTAATTGCAAAGCCGAGGGCAATCCCACACCAACCATACAATGGTTTAAGGATGGACGTGAGCTGAAAACGGATACGGGCTCGCATCGCATCGCTCTGCCCGCTGGTGGTTTATTCTTTCTGAAGGTAAGCAGCCAAACGCATCCTACTATACTTATGTATATTGTGCTCATATACGAGTGTGCATGCATGATGGCCCATAATTTGTACGCTAGTTGGGTATTATTATAAGTATACATACAAGTATAAACAGCTGCTGTTTTTGCATGTGCATAAATATACAGCGGCCTTTTCGCTACAGTTGCAATGAAAACAAAGGGCATCGATTCCCCATGCCTGCCCACTGCTCGACTTATCTGGGCTTATTTTCTTCTTGCCGTTGTTGTCATGGATGAGAAGCGGAACATTTGGCATTCCAGCAGCAAGAAAATGCATAAATTTTCAAATATTATTTTATGCGCTTCCAAATGACTGCATTTTTATCGAAAAACAAAACAAAAAGGCGCGGCAACAGCAAAACAAAACAAAACAAGACATTCCACACACACCATTTCTTATGCCTATCATCAACTTCAGAATCAACCCAAAAAAAAGTGTGACCAAAGCTTGAAAATAAATGTAAGTAGGTTGATTCAAAATATTGCTAAAAATTAATAGAATGAATCACTTTTTTAAAATTTGGAATTACTGATCATTTTAATAATTTAGGGACTTGTTTAATCATCTCCAAAAATAAAGAAGCTTATTTGAAAGAGAGTTTATAATTGATTCGCTAATCGAAAAATGTCCTTCAAATTATAGAACAAATTTTCAACAATGCATACAGAATAATAATCTGTTGTTCAACATAACTTTTGCATAATTTATATAATATAGTAAATAATACTATTAGCTTTTCATTAGTAATTTTACCATAACCAAAAAGGATATCGTGTACATTAATTATAGCCCTTTAAGCAACATTTTACACACTTTCTTCTGAATGATATTTATTAAATGATAAAGGTATAAAGAAAAGTTCTTTTAATGTTTAAAAAATGGTCACCCTAGTCTTCAAGTGGTGAAAAGGCCATTTTTGACATGTCTGGAGGGGGGACTTCCCCGGAGCCCATGCGTGCGCAAATTCGCAATTCCAGCTAACGAGATGCGAGGCAGTACGCCTTCAAAAGGCACTGGCAGCTGAGAGCTGAGGTTAGGGACCGGAATTGGCAAAGGGTGTGTTGTTATTGTTTCTATTGGTGTCCAGGCTGGCAAGCTGCAGTTTGTTGTTGTTGTTGTTGTCGCTTACTGTCTGCTTTTATTAAATTCTTGCAACAGTCGCCCGTACAATTTTTCATTAAAGGCAAGAAATTTATTAACAATACTTTTCTTTTTTTAATTTGCCTTTATTTAATATATACTACAAGTATATATGTATATTTTGATGTGCTGTTGAACAAATTATTGCAGGCTCAGTGCATTCTATATAAAATGTAATAATACAGAATTTGTTAAATACATTTCGGAACGGCAGTGCCGCCAGTGAGAGCGAGACAGTGCGGACCCATTCCGACGACCACTTGACTCGATGGGGGTTCAAGGGAAACAAATCATTAAAAAGTCCGACACCAGCTGGCAGTTGGAAATGCGAGCACTTTGCCATATTTACAGTTACTTTGGGCATATCTCAGGGCAGCCAGTCGACAACAAATTGTCCCTTTTTATAGCTGATATCGTTGTTATTGTTGCTCTTGTCGCTTTTGTTGCTTTTGTTGCCCTTGTCGAGGCAAATTTTGTAAGCTAAGCTGTGTTAAGCATTTGCAGGCACAGTCCACTTGTCGTCGACGAGCTTACAGTTTGTTGCCAATTAATTGAAGAGGGCAAGTGATTAAGGCGAGTAAGACTCAACTGGGCAGAAGTGCGGGTGACTGCTTTAGTTATTGGGGTTGTGTTTTTAATTAAATTAAATTGCGTATGCGCCCTGTGGATTCCATCCAGTCAGAGAGTCAAAATGGCTCAACAATTTGTTACTTGATTCCGGTAGGCTTATACTTTTGATCTTTTGCAAAGAGACTTTACTTTTATCCATTACAGCATTGCTAATCCCGTCTCTTTCCATTGCAGGTTATACACTCGCGCCGGGAGAGCGACGCTGGCACCTATTGGTGTCAGGCCAAGAACGAATTCGGTGTGGCACGTTCGCGCAACGCCACGTTGCAAGTGGCATGTAAGTATCCTTAATGACAACCGCAGCATAATTAAAATGATATGCAAGCAGCACACCAAGTTGCATGATAAATTGTTAAGCAATGCGCTCCACGCTGCCCAAAATTTGACGATGATCGATGACCAGCCACTTCGCCTAATGACAAACACTCGAATAGCCACTCTCTGGTGAGGGTGCACAACTGCACATGTGGCCATTGTCCATTGCCAGAGCCCCTACTCAGCTGGAGTGTAGAAATGGCATGCGTGCGGTTGTCCAATTAGCTGCACTGTTTTCATTTTTAATTTATTTTTGGTTGTTTTCCCTGTTTTTTTGTGATATTTTCGCTGCCGGACATACACACTTCACTCACATTTCTTGCTAGTCATGGTGTGTGGCTTTCTAATTAATTATAAATAAAACAGTATTGCAAAATATTTATGCTTGTAATTGATATGAAAGTAAAACTTTGCCAGGGGCTGCTTGTGTTGTGTTACAAAGCGTATTCAATATTAAATTTTAATTAGTGCACTATGTGCAAAAAAGGGGAAATGTGTTCAACACAGAGAATGGCAAAAATGTGAACATTTTAGAAACATTAATTCATTAAGGGAAGTGACTTTTACTATGCTAGCTATGCCAGTAAAATAATAATTATAATTGAATCTTTAGCCAAGGGAAGGCAATAAAACGCTATAAAATTATATAAAATAACGCTCGATAAATAAGTTGCAATAGAGATATTTTTTTATTCAGAAAAGATTGCCGTAAATTAAAGAGTCTTAGAAATTAGATATATTTTCAATAATTAGAATGCAATCTTTAGCCAAGGGAAGGCAGTAAAACGCTACAAAAATAATTCTCGATAAATAAGTTGCAATAGCAATATTTTTTATTTAAATAAGATAGCAGTAAATTAAAGAGTCTCAGAAATTAGTTATATTTTCAATAATAAGAATGCAATCTTTAGCCAAGGGAAGGCAGTAAAACGCTATAAAATTATATAAAATAACGCTCGATAAATAAGTTGCAATAGCAATATTTTTTATTTAAATAAGATAGCAGTAAATTAAAGAGTCTCAGAAATTAGTTATATTTTCAATAATAAGAATGCAATCTTTAGCCAAGGGAAGGCAGTAAAACGCTATAAAATTATATAAAATAACGCTCGATAAATAAGTTGCAATAGCAATATTTTTTATTTAAATAAGATAGCAGTAAATTAAAGAGTCTCAGAAATTAGTTATATTTTCAATAATAAGAATGCAATCTTTAGCCAAGGGAAGGCAGTAAAACGCTACAAAAATAATTCTCGATAAATTCATTGTAATAGCAATATTTTTTGATGTAAATAAGATAAAGTATAGAAGTTATCTTAAGGAATTCCTTAATGATATTACATATAATAAGAAGATTGCTTTTTAATGCAATTCAAGTAATTCCTGTCGCACTAAACGCAGCAAAAAAAGCTTTACAATCAACGCTTAATAGTCATTTCTTCATTGCCTTTTTTAACTGGTATTATGTTTATGTAGACGTTGCAAATTCTTAAACAACAACTATTCAATACAGCCTGACTGTCCTGTGCGTCGCAACACAAGTGCTTATCATCATTAAAATGGCAGAAGCTTGGTTGCCTTTGGCGAGCATTGAAGCGCATTTGGTCGCCATTGAAGCGCAACTCGCATTGCGCATAGCAAATGCAAAAGCTTATTAATATTTCAGCTTTGGCTGCTTGCAAGAAGAGTGCGCGCTGATATCGTTTGCATCATTATCAACATTTCATTGGCATATTGAAGGGCAGCAGCCATGGCAATGCCGGGCACATCAAATATTGCATATACATAGTCTAGCAACAGCAAAGGATAAAGAAAATGAAATGCAACGCAATGGACAGCGGCCCACCTTGCGTCTGACATTTATTAATATTGAATCAATCAAAGCCAGCGCAGACCAGCAGCAACCTAGCAACGACCATCATCTCATCCACTCCCTTTCTCTCTCTCTCTCTCTCTCTCTCCCTCCGCCACGTTACCAACAGTTTTGCGCGAAGAGTTCCGTCTGGAACCGCAGAACACGCGCGTTGCCCAAGGCGAGGTGGCCCTAATGGAGTGCGGGGCACCGCGGGGCTCACCCGAGCCGCAAATCTCATGGCGGAAGAACGGACAGACGCTCAACTTGAGCGGAAACAAGCGTATACGGGTTGTGGATGGCGGCAATCTGGCCATACAAGACGCACGTCAATCGGATGATGGGCGCTATCAGTGTGTGGTCAAGAATGTGGTGGGCACCCGTGAGTCTGCCACGGCCTTCCTCAAGGTGCACGGTAAGTGGAAACATCTTCCTTCTATCTCTCCTTCTACTTTCCCATATTCAAAGCTTGAATATTTCATAAAAATAAATATAATTGTTGTTCAATTCTCGTTGCAGTGCGTCCCTTTCTCATACGCGGTCCACAGAATCAAACAGCCGTGGTTGGCAGCTCGGTGGTCTTTCAGTGCCGCATTGGTGGCGATCCTTTGCCCGATGTCCTTTGGCGTCGCACTGCCTCTGGTGGCAATATGCCTTTGCGTAAGTATCACACACCATAACCATTCGTTTAGTTTTGTTCTACTCGTACTCTTTTCATTTTCCGTGCTCTTGGCTCGAGTCAATTAGCCGGAAGAGCGGCGTGCGGCCATTTTGTAGTTTTTCACACAACGCGCGTTTCAAATGAAATTAAAGCTTTTTGTTGATATTTGCCAAGCGTGCAGACTGTTGGGGTGCAACGCCATAAAAAAAAAAAGAAAAATAACCAGAAATGTGTGTGGTTGCTTTGGCTTTGGCATTGAGTTTTCATGTTGATTGCGTATGCACTGCGAGAAAGCCATTTATTAGATTAATTCCTAACTAGCTAGTGGCGCTACTTTCTGGCAAAATAAATCTAAAGAATCGCAAAATGTCAAATTCTAATAAAAACAATAATAAAAAAAATATTTAAAAATAATAAAAGAAATAGTAGCGCAATAATTTGTTGATGGTATTCAAAAAAGTAGAGATGAAGGTGAAGTAGGATGATGAAGGAACCAACTAAAAAGATACTTAAATAGGTTTCGAGTATGACTGCACTTGTTTTTGAAAATCTTGCATAATAGCTGCATTCTATAATCAAAGTTGCAGAGCAAAGTTTCAATAATGTTAAAATAATAATTCTGCACAATCGAGAAACCAACCCATGGATTGGTTTTATTATGAAGACTGCATCTTAACAAATCTAAATAATCTGACGAATATGCTAAAAGAATATTATGGCTAAAAGAAATCGTATATATTGGAGCACATTTTAATAGAGTGTTTATAAAATATTTCCAATATATTTACATACAAGTATCATGCTTATTAGTTTGTAAATATCGATTTAGCAGCGATTTAGTCCAAATAATTTGTTCTAAAAATAAATTTACTAAGAGCTTAATATAAATCGCACTTTCCAATAACTAATTTCAAATTTTTATTCGTGCATTTGCAACACCTACACAAATACACGCTTAAGTCATATATAAGCTCGTTTATGTTGCTGTTTTTTGTTGCTGTTTCGTTGTTGTTGTTGTTGTTGTTTTTGTTGTCGGGCCAGTGTGGTTTGGCTATGGGCCACATTTTCCCCTGCCTAGACAAACAAAACTGTAACTTTTAATTCCGTTAATTGCCAATCTCTGTTGGCAGCAATCAACAATTTTGCTTGCACAACACTCGAGTGTTGCAATGTCCTCAGACAGACGCACACAAACACACACTCACACTCACACACACAGACATGTTGAGTGCAACTACTGGCTGGCGTTAGTGGGTGTTTGGGCAGCAGCCGCCAGCCCCCACCCCCAACCTTAGCACTCTCAACTACATAGTTACGCTTCTTTAAATTGCTATGGCAGAAGCGTAAAAGAAAATACTAGAAAACATTGTGGCTCAAGCCAAGAGTCCAGCTATTGTTCTAGTTGTTGCTGCCGTAAACTTTTGTTAAGCAAACAATTGGCACAGTGCAGACGACAACAACAGCAACAGAAACAACAACAAATACAAATACAGCAACAATAATAGCTGAAGCGGCAGAAGCAACAACAACAACAGCACACATTTAAAACCTATTTCACAGCCAGCCAACCAAAACGAAAAGCAAAGTCTCTCTCTTCTTTTTTTTTTTGTATTTTTATAAGAAAAACCACAAAAGGTGCCCCAGCATTCTAGCATTGAGCCCCTTCACCTGAACTACGCCCCGTTTGTCCATCAAAGAAGCTCGGCTTGACTTGGCTTACTGAGCATTGCGGTTGTTTGCCAACAGGAGTACAGGGGAGTACGCCCAGTTTCTGGGGCCATTTTTACGCTACTTGAACTACTAACGAAGTAGAAGACAACGTGAGGCGATAGCCAAGAAACTTGAGTTCAGTTCAGCTTAGTTCCTAGTCCTCCGCCCAGTTGTTTGCCAAAGTAGCGTATGTGTGCGTGGATGTGTGTGTGTGCGAGTATGTGAGCAAACTGTTTGCACACCTTGGCGCACAGAAGTATGCAACAGAATTGTGCAGACAATTATCAGCAAAGTTGACAACTTTTTATACTCTCACCTCTCAAATGATGAAGGCACATGCTACAAAAGCTTAGACAGGCTGGGCAATTAGGACTGCACTGACTGACTGATTGTTTGACTGTATGAACGCGTACATGTCAGTATTTGAAGGTGCTGGAACCTCCGAAACGTAGCATACAAGTGCTTTCCACTTCATGACTGGGCTCCCAATCTCATTTACTCCTTCTTTGATTAATTATTTGTAATTGTTTATTTTCCTTACACATAATAGACTAGTTTGCGTTAATTTTAGGGCATTTCATAGTCGTCGGCGTTCGCCATTGTTTCTTCTTTTTTTGTGCGTACACCATCAACTACTGTTTCACATGAGATCTCGATCCATCCCTTGCTCACTGCTCAATGTTTCTCTCTACTTTGCAGGTCGTGTGCACATACTTGAGGACCGCAGTCTCAAGTTGGACGACGTCACGCTGGAGGACATGGGCGAGTACAGTTGCGAAGCGGACAATGCGGTGGGCTCAATTACCGCAACGGGCATTTTAACTGTGCATGGTAAGCTAATGGCCATTTCGAAGGGTGGTTCTTCGTTCGGTCAGCTGCAGCCACTTCAGCCGACATTTATTAAACTTTTCGCCTCATTCTCGCCCCCATTAGCTCCACCCAAGTTCACAATACGACCCAAGAATCAATTGGTTGAGGTTGGAGATGAAGTGCTCTTCGACTGCCAGGCCAGTGGTCATCCCAAGCCCACGCTCTACTGGTCCGTCGAGGGTAATAGCTCGCTACTACTGCCTGGCTATCGCGATGGTCGCCTGGAGGTCACTTTGACGCCCGAAGGTCGCTCTGTGCTGTCCATAGCGCGCTTTGCTCGCGAGGATTCCGGCAAGGTGGTGGTTTGCAATGCTCTCAACGCTGTCGGCAGCGTTAGCAGTCGAACTGTCGTCAGCGTGGACACACAGTTCGAGCTGCCGCCGCCCATCATTGAACAGGGTCCGGTCAATCAGACGCTGCCTGTGAAATCCATTGTAGTGCTGCCTTGCCGCACGCTGGGCACGCCAGCTCCTCAGATCTCCTGGTATCTGGATGGCATTCCCATCGATGTGCAGGATCACGAGCGCCGCAATTTGTCCGATGCCGGCGCCTTGACCATTTCGGAGCTGCAGCGACATGAGGATGAGGGTCTCTATACATGTGTTGCGAGCAATCGCAATGGGAAGTCATCGTGGAGCGGGTTTCTGCGCTTGGACACACCCACCAATCCCAACATTAAGTTCTATCGCGCACCAGAACTCTCCACCTATCCTGGACCCCCAGGCAAGCCTCAGATGGTAGAGAAAGGTGAAGATTCCGTTACGCTGAGCTGGACGCGTAGCAACAAAGTGGGAGCGTCCAGCCTCGTTGGCTATGTCGTTGAAATGTTCGGCAAGAATGAAACCGATGGCTGGGTAGCCGTTGGAACGCGCATCCAGAACACAACCTACACGCAAATGGGACTTGTGCCCGGTGTCAACTATTTCTTTCTCATACGTGCCGAAAACTCACATGGCTTGTCGCTTCCCAGCCCCATGTCGGAGCCGATTACTGTGGGAACGGTAAGTGAAAAGAGAGATATAACTATATAACAGCAAATCGAAGCGATCAGAATTAATTTCGATTGCGTTATGTATGTTTCCTCTGTCTAATCAGCGCTTTTATTCTTCACAGCGTTACTTCAATAGCGGGCTGGACCTGAGCGAGGCACGCGCCAGTTTGCTTTCTGGCGATGTTGTGGAGCTCATTAATGCTAGCGTTGTCGACTCCACCACCATGAAACTTACATGGCAGGTTAGTATACTACTTATATGCCTCTCCCCAATCGCAGCTTATTGCCATCTCGCTGGTATTTCACTGATTTCCTTTTTCGCCTACCCGTCTCTGTTTTATAAATGCAGATCATCAATGGCAAATACGTCGAGGGTTTCTACATCTATGCGCGTCAGTTACCAAATCCAATAACAAATACACCGGCGCCCACATCGGCAAACACGAATCCGTTACTGACAGGCGGCACAACGGGCTCTGCGACTGCGACTGCCACTGCGTCTGCCTCAGCATCAGCATCGGCATTGATTTCGGCGAAGCCAAATATTGGAGCTGCCGGCAGACGTGACGGGACGGCCGTGGCAACAAATGCACAGCAACAACAGCAGCAGCCGGCGTTGGAGCTCAGCACAAAATATCGCATGCTAACCATATTGAATGGAGGTGGAGCCTCCTCGTGCACGCTAACAGGACTTGTGCAGTATACGCTCTATGAATTTTTCATTGTGCCATTTTACAAGTCCGTCGAGGGCAAGCCGTCGAACTCACGCGTGGCACGCACTCTGGAAGATGGTGAGTACAATATAAATACATGCAAACCTACATACATACTTGTACATTCGGGAATCAATTGAGAAAGTAAAGCTGAGTTACGAGTGCTATGTTTATGCGATCTCCGAAGTTTGAAGAGTGTGCACTTAAGACCCTTCTGCGATAATTCATCATTAGCAATATAATTTGAAAATTTGTTATTTGTCGTTCCAAACCAATTCGATTGCTGGATTTCAAATGTGAGACTAATACATCTAACGAGCATGAAATGCATTTTATTTCTACTGCCAACAAAAAAGGAATATGGAAAACGTGTTTGAATATTTTTGCGCCTAAAAATTAATTTAGACCAAACACATCGTGGCATATGTCCTGAAGTTATATGATAAATTCGTAAAACTGTTCAATACGCGACACTCTCTAATGAAGCATGTGCAGTAAATCCAAAACAAAAAATCCAACAGACCATATGAATACCTTTACAAGCCCACATCCACACAACAGCAAACAAACTACCCCAGAATTGCACGTGAGCAGCAACCCTGTAGATGAATGGGAAGGGAAGGGAATGGAAAGGAATGGAGGGGGGCTGGTTAGGCTTTGTGACAAATGCAGAAAGGTGGAGGTTGAGGTCGTTTGTAGTTGGCAGGGGCGTGGAGAGGCGGGCGGGAAGCTGGCGCGCATTGCAACAATAACCTAATTCAATAAAAGGATATAGGCACAGAGAGGACTGCGAAACATAAATGCTATGCACACACACACACACACACACACACACACACAGAGAGGAACACACACACACATGGGCATATCTTTAGAGCCGCCTTATCGCTGCTTATCAGCATCAGCTGTGTCGTGCGTCATGCGGGTCGAATAATCGCATATAATTTTGAGGGTCGCAGAGGCAGCAAGCAACAAACAAAAAAAAAAAAAAACGAAAAGAAACGGAAGGAAAAAAATCGTTGAGTAGACGGGTGAAAGCATGGGCGTGGGACGGAGGGGTGGGGCGAGCGTTTGTTCGTTTGTGCGGATATAGCAAATAAAAAGTATGTCAATCATTGAACACAACTCGATGCCATTCGGAGAGCGAATCATGCGTAAGTAAATGCAGAACAATGCCAGCCCACAGGATATACAAACATACACGTACATGTGTAGTATGTGTGTATGTGTTGAAAAGGTAGCAGAGAGTGGCTCAGGCGGGCCATGCACGTAGGCTCGCATTTGAGGAGAGGAGGGAGAGGGGTTTTATGTGTGTTGCATATTTGATGAAATGCGTTAGGCATCTGGGACGGTTTACATGCATTAGGAATTGCGGTAAAGTGTGACTGGAGATGGGATTTCCAAACGAAGGGGTTATGCGAATGGTGCCATCTTAAAGTTCTGCCACCTATTCCTGCAGTTCTTCATAAATCATTTACGCCTTCGTTGATTTTATATAATTTAAGGCATACAGAATTCTTTAGATATTTTTTGTTAAGACCAGCTCTGCTAGAATATTTGAGGCTATTTTGAAATCTATTTAATGTTAGAAGTCTTAAATGGCCCTCTGGAAAGGATCTTCTTTCTGTAGCAGAATTAAAAACACTTTGTTTTTCTTCCCTCAGTTCCCTTTTCTTCCACCAAATCAAATTGACTTTGTTTCACTTTTCTTTGCAAAACTCAAAGATAAGCTTGTCAGGTCATTTTCCAAAACTAAGAAAAAACTTTGAAGCTGCATAAAAAGAAGCGTGCACACTTTTTTCCAAGCATATCTGCCGAAGCAGCAACAAAACTTTGCAGACAGCTTTATCACTTCATTGGTGTGTGGAAAATTTGGCGAATTTTCAAGCAAAATAAATAAAGAACAGAGAAAATGAGGCAACTGCATTTGCAATGCAGCGCCTTGACACCAATAATTAAAAACAATAGAGCTTAGAGCGTAGTACACACAAATTTCACCTGTCAAATGGCGAAAGGCGCGGCATCAAGCAAACCAGACACATAACAGTGCCACAAATAAGTCAACAGTCGCGACTACTTTGCGACGGCAATATTAAATGCACAAACGCGCGCCCTCTTTATTCCTTGCTCGCCGTGCAGCCCGACTGACTTCAAATCAAAACTCATTTTGTATGCATCACATTTCCCACTTGCGTCTGACTCTTTGCTGACAACAGCAACAACAACAACAGTGGCAGTTACGTCAAAGAAATTGCCAACGCAATTGTGTAAAGATAAACAACAATTATTGCTGCTATATGCAGCACCACATACACCCATACTGCACAGTGGGCCAAAATGTGCGCCGCTCAATGCAAATTCGATGCACCCCAGTTGTTTGCACTGCTGCGGGAACTCGCAGGAAGCGCGTTTGCCAAGCGTCGCAGCGGAAGTTGGCAAATAAACCTGGCAGTTAGCGACAAGGCATACGGCACATGGCAAATGGCAAATGGGTAACAGGACGGGGAAGAGAGCGAGCGACTTGGGAGCAAAAGTTGCTTCACAACACAAATGCAGTAAAACAAAGCCAGAGGAGGAGCGTTTCGTGCGGCTTTAAAGGCTGCCTCTCAAACAAATGCATTCAAGCTCTGTTCAGTTGATTTTTGATTTTGATTCGCAGACAATTGGAAAAATGTTGTATGCCTCGAATATATTTTTAGTCAATTAGTTGGGTTTGTAATTAGCAGAAAATGCTGTAGAAAATGTTTACTAATGTTTAAGAATGGGAACAACAAATTTTTCTAAATCTGAAATTAGTCAAAAAAGGGTATAAACTTTTGGAAAAGTTGTCGTTTCATAAATATCACCAACTAGCTTTTTATAAAACAAATACTTAAGATATTGTTATGCAAGAGGCTGAATAATATTTTTATGCAAGAAACTTTTGTAGTTACTGAGTTTTGTAGAGCCTTTACATTTTAAAGGGGTTTTTTTTTTTTCCAAATACATGAAGTTCCCGTCTTTATTTAAGCAATTTCTCTGATTGAAGCCTGCGGTCATTTATGTCACGCAATGGCTACTACGTGTTAAGTGGGCATAGCAAGCGCCATGACGATCTGTGTGTGTGTGTGTGTGTGTGTGTGTGTGTGTGGAAAAGCAAAGACAAAAAGTTGACAAGCACTTTAGCATGTCGCCCGGGCACCCGGCAACAGCGGCACCAGAAACAAAGCCAAAGACAAAACAAAATGGCTAGAGAGAAAGGAATAGCCCCAGCCCAGCCAAGCCAACCCAATCCAATCCAATCCAACCCTTTTTTAGCCTAGAAACAAGACGAAGATGGAGCTAGACGAGCACCTATTTAGAAGCTGCAGCATTTTGCTTTCTTTCATTCATTCTTTCTGTTTTATTCGCTGTTGTTGTCTAGAGCGTTTGCACGTGTGTTTATTTAAAGAAATTGCTTCACTCGACGTGCAGATGCACACACACACACACACACACACACACACACATATACACACACCTATCGTCAGATGCACACACGTGTAGACAGACGCGCACTTGTCGTCGCGACAGAGCAGGAAATAAATAAACAAATGAAGATGAGCTTTTGAAGTGGCAACTCGTCGTCGTCGCTGTGCATGTGAGAGATACTGCAAGCATTTCGGTTGGGGAGGGGGCGGTTGAAGGGTATGAGAAAGAAGTCAGTCAACTGCAATGAGCAATGAATGCAAAAGGGTGTACACACACACATAGGTATGTGCGCAATGAAGCGCATTTTTCTTTTCCTTTTCCTTTACCACTTGACAATGCAAAAAGCGTGCGATGTTTTCCAGCCCGGCAGCGTTTGTGTTTCATTTGGGTCTCAACTGCGGAAATGATATAAAATAAAAAACGCAGGAACAACAACAACTAGACCAGCCATTAATACAACTAAAGCCTCTGCTCAGGCTCAGTTAAATGCAAATTAATTAGACATGCTCATTAGATGAAGGCCAACCCAGCAGACCAGCTGCTGTTGTCCAATCAAAAACGCATCCCAAGTGTAAAGATATCCAACACATCTACATCTTCAACTCATTTCCATCTCTTCTCGTTTCCTTTATTTTCTTGTAGTGCCCAATGAAGCGCCATTTGGCATGGAGGCCATTTTGTTGAATGCCTCGGCCGTGTTCTTGAAGTGGAAGGCGCCTGAAATGAAAGCTCAGCATGGTAAGTGGAAAGCAAGTGCTTATAAGCAGTGGCAGCTCATTAATGACCTTTTAACCCCTTAATTTGTTCACTCCTACACAGGTCAACTGCTCTACTATCATGTCATTGTGCGCGGCATTGATACGGCCCACAATTTCTCACGCATACTCACTAATGTGACCATTGATGCCGGCTCGCCCACCCTGGTTCTGGCCAACCTTACCGAGGGTGTCATGTACACTGTGAGCGTGGCTGCGGGAAATAATGCCGGCATTGGTCCATACTGTGTGCCGGCCACACTGCGATTGGATCCGATTACAAAACGACTCGATCCGTTTATCAATCAGCGGTAAGTAAAATCTCATTTTCATTTAAAGTATTATATTGTAAATGTTTCTTGTGGAACTTTAATAGTTCCAAACTGAAACATAAATGTATGAAAATATTGTTGAATTTTCTGGAATAACTTTTTCTTGAAATGTTACTGCATTTCAATATTTATCTCGTCCCCTATATGTTCAACTATTCCGCAATTGAAAATATTTGCGCAAATTCTTTAACACATTGGCCCTCTCTCCAATTTTCTATGTTGCAGCTATCCCATTAACCAGGATCATGTGGATGATGTGCTAACGCAACCCTGGTTTATCATTCTGTTGGGCGCCATTTTGGCTATCATGATGTTATCCTTTGGCGCCATGGTCTTTGTGAAGCGCAAGCACATGATGATGAAGCAATCGGCACTGAATACCATGCGTGGTAAGTAGAAAGTATACACACACACACACACGCACACACACAAATATAACCACATTCATGCTCACATTTGCATACTACAAAATGGAGAAAAAAATACAAATAAATGCTATGCTTGGCTTGTAGATTTTTGTGTGGCCGGCACTACGTGCTGCACATTTGTTGCATCCGTTGCCGGTTTCTGCCGCCGGCTGCTCTTGCTGGCTGCTAGTTTCACTTCCTTCCTCTCTGCCACTCACACATTTGCATACGCATCCTGCCTGTTGTATAAATAACACTAATTTTCTATTGTTGCGCGCCAAAGTATGCAACACTTTTTATCCCGCCGACAAAATAGGTGCGAATAAATATAACAGCGCTCGAGAGAGAGTGTGTGTGTGTGTGTGGTGGTGTGCGTGTGGCACACATAATAGAAACTAACACTGCAACTATGTAGCATAAGTGTTGTCCGATAATGACTGGCCCTGTAATTATTATTGTGCATTTAGTTTTGTGCATTATTAAGCAAAACAACAGCAACAGCAACAGCACAGCAACGGCAACGGCAGGTGGCAACAACAAATTAGCTGCATAAATATTGCATGCAAAACATTTTCCTATCAGTTATCAACTTAGTCACATATGTCCCTCAACCATGTCAGTGGAATTTTTTAAAAGCTGTCCAGCTCACCCACACACTCATGTAATGGTGCAAAACTAGCAGACGAACAATTTAAGTGGCTTAATAAACACGTTGAATATTTATGCCCATCGCAAACGCAACTAAACGGCAGCAAAAAGGACAAAGTTAGTAGGACGCTAAAATAAATAAAAATAAACAAATTGCAGCAAACAATAAAAGTAACGAGCATAGAAACACATACATACAAGAGTAGAAATATCTAGTGATTAAAGAAAAAAGCAATGAATTCATTTAAAGAACGATAGATTCCGATCACTTTGGAGAGTATCTGAGTATCGAATTGAATTAGTGTTTTGATAATTAATCGATTTGAAAAAAATCTCAATTTATTTCTTTGCTTTCAACATAATATTTAACTGACTTGATAATGAAATCTGTTCATTATATTATACTTCACTTCTTAAATTATTAAATATACTTCTTGATAATGAAATGTTTCCGGATGCTCTAACGATTTGAAAAGAATCTCAATAAACAATCTCAATTTATTTCTTCGCATTTTAAATAATATTTAATTGGCTTGATAATGAAATCTTTTCATTATACTTCTTAAAAACTGTGCGAGTTCAAAATTTGTTTCCTCTAAGTGGTTCAAACCTCTTGACTAAGAGTAAAACTTTCACCACAGAAAGTGTAAAATATGACAACATTGTCATGATTTTTTTAAGCACAGCTTCTAAAATAAACTAAACGAGCGCACAGCACAGCACAGCAACCAAAACGAACGCATAAAACTCACCTGAGCGGCAATAAAGAATGCAAAATACAACACTAAAAACAATGCTGCAGCAGAGAACGGGCCACAATGCCGAGCCGTTTGTATGGGGGCCATAAAACACTGGGTTGATGGGCGCAGTTATAACAGTGGCAGTTTAATTGGTGCACTTTTATATTCAGTTGCAATGCGCGCGCTTATAAGTATGCAACACTTTTTTGCGCCCCTGATGTTTAACAAAAACAACAATAACAACAACAACAGTTGGGCAAATGGACAGACAGACAGACGGACATGTGGACATGCAGACAGCCGTGCAAAGTGGAAAATTGACAATAATTTATTTTATTCGAGTGTGTGGATGTGTGTGGCGATGGCGGCTGTTGCTGCAAATAAAATAATTTTGAGAGAAATTGCGCATACGCCCCCATGTTCAGCACACACAACATAATATTATTTTAATGCGCTGAATTTATAGCTTCTACAGAGCCACAACAGCAGCAGCAACAGCAGCAACAGCAGCAGCAGCAGTAGGAGCGGCTCAATTTTTTCTCGCTTTTATATATTTTTTGCTCGTTTTTAATTTCCGGCTGCAGCCATCATTGTAATTTATTTGGCTCACAATTTGTTGCACCACATTTAATTGCTTTATCTCACCCCCTTCTCTTGCATTCTCCTTCCGCAGGCACTCACACAAATGATGTGCTCAAAATGCCGAGCCTATCGACCCGTACAGGCAATGGCTATTGGCTGGATGCCTCCAGCGGTGGCATGGTGTGGCGGAACTCGCCAAGCGGTGACACGCTGGACATGCAAAAGGATCACATTGCGGACTATGCCCCGGTGTGCGGTGCCGGCGGTAGCAGCGGCAGCAATGGCGGAGGCAGTGGCAGCGGTAGCGGAGCCAGTGGCATTGACGAAGGCCATGGCGAACGCAATCAACAGCGGTAAGTTCCAAAGCAGACATGACAATCAAAAAAAAAAAAAACAATTTTAAAGCCTGTAGGTCGAGCCAGCATGATTATTAAGCACGCTAATCTTTCAACATTGAATATAAAAATTTTGGATATAAAAATTGTAGTGGCGCTTTGTAAATAGGTTTCTCTTTTCGGCAGTACTTCTTTTAAATATCAGAAAAACCTGTAACAAAGCAGTGTTTTGGAAAACAAACAAAACTCAACTATAGACTAGAAGAACTTCCATTGGATAGTCTAAGCCTAAAACTTATATTATGGCTTTTAGAAAAACAAGTATACTGGACTGTAAAAATTCTATATTCGAGTTTAAATTTAATTTAGAAATATCAAAATTCATAGTCTTTGTTGCTTCACATAGTTCAGAAAAATCGATTAATCGCAGCAGAGCTTAAATTTAATTTGAAAACAAATATATAAAACATACATATAAAACTCTTAGTCTTTGTTGCTTTACATAGCCCAGAAAAATCTATTAATAGCGTTGGTATTATTCGACTGAAGAACTTACTCTCTTATGTATGTTACAAGCATCCACCTAATTCTGATGTGCCCTCTCATCTGTGGCATGGCAGGGTGTCCAAAACTAGCGGCAACCGAAAGCGACGACAATAAAAATTCAGCAAACTGTGAAATTGCATTTTTCTGTCACAGTTTCCAAGTTCTTTTTTCCGTGACGTTTTTTTTCGCTCTGCACAAAAATCAAGTTAGAAATAGAAATGTTCGCGCGCTATTTATGTTGATTTTGGACAGTTTTTGTTGCTGTTTTTTGTGCCGTCGCGCCTTCCAGCATGCCAAAACAATTTCTCTGTCGCACAAATGTAATTATCAGAGTACCTGGGGACGTTTGTCTAACAGAGCGCAGTAGCCGCGCTGAGTGGAGGACAAAGATGTGGACACAAATACAGCTGTCCTGTCTGTCTGTCTGTCTGTCGTCGTCGTCGGTCCAACTTGCCGGCACTTTCCTTAAATTTGCCAAGCCTGGTGTTGGAGTGTCGCTTTAAATACTACTGTTGATATAATATGCCATTTACAATATGTTTTTTGCAATTTTTCTGCTTTTGTTGCTGTTCCGCATGCATTTGCATAATTTATTTATGACGCATTTTGGCTGCGGCCTGTCTGTAATTGGTTTATGTTTAGCGGCCAAATCAAAGCCGGACTAGCAAAGACCCCAAAATAATTCCATATTGCTCGCGGTAATTTATTTGTCTGGCCGCTGGCAAATGCATGAATAAGTACATGTATAAAATATGCTCACAATACAATACAAGTATGTACGAGTATTTGCAAATGTTTGCAACAATTGCAAAAACCGTAATTGTAATTGTTATTTATTTGCGGCTAATTTGTGGAGCCATACATACAAACTACAATATATAGTGGGAGTGAAACAGATGTGAGATCTAATGGCTACAAAATACACGTATATTGGTGATAAAATTATGAAAATCTAACTATACAAATAATATATAGTTCCTATTTCAAACCAAACCCATGTTTGTGCACAATTTCCTAATTGAATATACTCGTATGTATGTAGCTTTCAAGCAAATATTTAAGAGATTTAAAGTTAAATTTGAAATATCGCGATTAATTTACATAACGAAGCATATCCAACAATAAAAACTTGGCCAAGCTCCTAACCAAATGAAGCGAACAAATCAGAATCCTGCAACCTCCAGCTGTCGACCGAACGCAATTAAATGCCAATCAAGCGTCAAAAGTCGCCAGCAAAAAAATCATGAAAACGAACATGTATTTAAAATTTATATAAATTGCGCACATTTCCGAGTCCCCCCAGCAGCGACTACTGTAAATAATTTTCCAGCCAGTTGGTAGATAATTATGCTGCCACTTAATTAGTCATTAAAAACGCAAATTGAAAATGTGCAGTGCTAGAACAAAGTTGTTGTTTTTAATAATAATAATAATTGCAACAAAATAATAAGCGCAGAACAACTGCAAAAAAGGCACACAAGCCATGACAATAAATATGAATATAATCTGATAATAATGAGCATCATATGTGCGAGCGACTGTGTGTGTGGTATGGAAATGAGCAAAGAAATTAACGAAAGCGTTGCACATTAATGAGTTGCACGAAAAACTAAAAAAAGTTGCCCTCCCCCTCAATACAAGCTGCTGCTGCTCATTAAAGGCATCAAGTTAGCATTTGAAGTGCTCTTTGTTCACTCCATCAATATGCAATATATTTTTATGCTCTCGTCGGTTGCTTTTTGTATTTCTGTGTGGCTTTCGTAGCGCGCCCACGGTCTATGTATTTTGGGGCGCAGCTTAATCCGCTTTCAGTATTTAAATGCGAAAATAATGCTAAAATGGGCGGCGACTGCCATAAAACATGGCAACGGTCTGCACTGAAATAAACGATGCCATTTTCACCTTAAAACCCATTTTTAATCTTTAAGCTGGCAATTTATTTATGCGCGTGAGCTGTACGCCACTTTTTTCTCTTTCGTTTTTGGCCAGCTGTCTAGCCGGGTCAGAATAAATTTGCAGACAAATTCCGAATTCTTTAAGAGCACGACAAGCTGTAGGAGGTGCAGGATTAAGGCTGCAGGTATTCTCGAGGCACCACATTTTTCAGAACTGCTTCAAGATGCGAAATTTACATGCAAAAGAAAAAGCCAAAGACTGCAAATAAGGGAAAGACACACACACGCACACACACTTGATTTTAAATACAAGTTGCGTACAAGTAGATGCAATAATTGAAGCGAACAAATTGTTTTCATTCAATATGATAACAAAGTAATACATATTTCTAAATGGATTGCAAACTATTACCAATTCAACAGCAGAAGAATAATTCACTAATTCCATGTTAATTTTAAATGAAACGAATGTCCGTCTAATACATGTTCGCTATTAAAAATAGTTTTAAGTTCTTCCGCTTTCGTTGCAATATTTCACACTCAACTTTTGATAATCTGTTGGCCAGCTACTGCGAATATTTCAAGTTCTCACTGACTCGCTTACTCAATGCACACATTTCCACCACTTCCTTGAAAAATGTGTAAAAATTGTGGAATGCAAAATATATTCCATTTTTACACATGAGTTCCCTTGCTGGCCAACCAACAAGCCAGCCAGTCAGCTAGCCAGCCAGCCAAAAATGCAAATTTCCTGTGCGTTCTCATGAAACCTGTGCGCGACCGCACGCCATAAATTCCAACACCAAATCCGCCCATGGCCCAGCAGCAGCAGCAACAACAACAACAACAGCAACAACAACAGCAGCAACAGCCGTAACAAGAGCGACAAATTTATAAGCACAAAATGGACAGCCAAAATTTGTGTTTCAGCTTGCTGTAATATTGTAATAAACATGCCTTGCGCAACCAAACAGTCGGAGAGTGTTTTCTATAATAACAGAATATTGTTTTTATCTCTTCCATTGCAGCTACGTGGGCGAGTACTCCAATATACCGACCGACTATGCCGAGGTCTCGAGCTTTGGCAAGGCGCCCAGCGAATATGGACGCAATGGCAACGCATCGCCAGCACCATATGCCACATCGGCCATACTTAGCGCCGGCGCTGGCAACGGCAGCGGCAATGTTGGACAACAGCAGCCGCGTTATCTGCAGCGTCCAGGCCCCAATAGCTATGGCATGCAACAACTACAACTACAGCAGCACCAGCAGCAGCAGCATCAACAACGGCCTATGCATCCACTCTACCCGCAACAACAGCAACAACAACACCATCCGCAACAACAACAGCAGCAACAACAACACTCGAGTGCCAATATATACCAGCAAATGTCCACCACTGGCGAAATCTATCCGAGCAACATGAGTGGCGCACGTTCCGCCTATTCGGAGCAGTACTATTATCCAAAGGAGAAGATGCACATTACAGAGAACAAGCTGAGCAATTGTCACACCTACGAGGCGGCACCGAACAGCCTCGTCCACCCCCACCAACAGGCCCCGCAATTTGCCAGCGTGCGTCGTCAGTTGCCCCATGGCTGCAGCATCGGACGTGACAGTGCGCGCTTCAAGGCTGGCTCAGCCGGATCCGGTTCCGGCTCACCTTTGGTGGATCGTCAGCACAAGCTGAATGCCTTAAACAATAATTCTGGTCAGGCGGCTATGGATCAGCAGTTGACTAGCAAGAACTTGCTCGACTTGGATGGCTCCTCGTTCTGTTATGCTGGCCTCGCCGACTCCGGCTGCGGAGGCTCTCCCTCGCCCATGGCCATGCTGATGTCGAATGAGGACGAACAGGCGCTCTACCACACGGCCGACGGTGAATTGGATGACATGGAGCGCTTGTATCTGAAGGTGGACGAGAAACAGCAGCCCATGCAGCAGCAACAACAACAGCAACTGTTGCCGCTCGTGCCCCTCGTTCCACATCAGCAGCAACAGACGCATGGCTGGCGAGCCCAACCAACACGCAGCTCCCATGGCAGAAAGCCCTTGTCTCATGCCAACGAGAATGTGGAGCCTAACAAGTTGCAGGACGCTGGCGAGCTCATCTATGCACCCGGCAGTGTGGCCAGCGAGCGCAGCTTGCTGAGCAACTCGGGCAGCGGCAGCAGCCAGCAGCAGCAGCAGCCCTGCCACAACAATGTGTGACCCCTGGCTGGGTCGGGAGCAGGCGTACAGGAGCAGTTATATGCGCGGGAGGTGCGCGAACTGCTCGAGTGGTGTGAACGCTTCAACAATGGCGGCGTCGAGAATTTTGAGTGAGCGAATGGGTTGGTAATCGGGGTGTAGTGTGATCAAGACTGAGTGAATGCGAGAGAATTAGAGAGGGAGGGAGGGAGTTAGGGAATGTGAGAGACCGGGCATAAGAAATATTTAGTGAACAAATTCCATAATCTAGTTCCATCATTTCATAAAACGACAACACACATACATACTTGAAAACAATTCGCTGATATGCTTTATTTGACTTCAGAGCCAAATTATACATTATTTGATATACATATACAAGTACAAGTATATAGCGAAATCAGAACTCACACAAAAGTTTGACTACATAAATATTAAAAATCGCAGCTCTATAGTCAATATACTCGTATTTATCAAACGAAACCACACGAATCGATATTAATTAACCTTATGGCCGGTGAATCCTGGCTTGACGCATTGCAGCAGGATAAATATTTCTCAATACCAAGTGTACTTCAATTACTACTGGAAATGAATGCAGACATTCTTTTCTTAAAATTTATATACAGTTCAATAAACTAATAGTTGAAAATTGAATGTATAAATTGAAATTTCAAATATTTTTAGTTTCTTTTTTAATTGTAAAGGTCGTTTCTTTTCTGTTTACTTTGCTGACCTTTACAAGCTATACAAGTATATGTGTTTGTGTACTCTACCTAGACATCTGGGAACCTGAACCCTATTGCCACCCTGGCCCGCTGTTTGCTAGTGATAGACTTAGTGCATCGTTTGGGCTTTGTCGCTCCAGCGCCCATTGCACGCGCCTAGACTTAGTGTTAGCCATAGACATTGTACATGTTAAAGAAACAAACGTATGCTAAGTTCCTCCAAGTATGCAGGCATCTGAAGCCTGTGCTTAAACTAAATCTAAATCTAAATATAACTACGCAAAACTCGTATACTCGTTCGTATATACGAGTATAGTACATACTATATGGTTAGATAGAGCTGAGGAGTCATGCATAACGTGGCGGGCAGCAGCATTTCGTTGTTACTTACATTTAGATTAGCCCCCCCTAGTTAATATAAAAGCATAATCATACATTCGTAATTATGCCATAAGTGTATATAAAGCAATAGCCATTTAATATTTAATATACAATTGCAAATTGAAATTTTAATTATGCAAATGCGAGCATAAGTGAGTAGACATAGAAATACGAATTAAAGTGAATAAATGTGCATATAGTAATTTATAAACATCATACATACATACTTATATACCAATTAGGATTGCATATTATCATATTACAGTATAGTTGTTGTTCACACACACACACACACACACACACACATAATGAATTAACATTAAAAATATATACATACACTTACCCACTGGCATATGCAAAATTTCTTCAATTTACATCTAAAAACAACAGTTCTACTTGTATTCATATGTCTATTTGTTTCCTACTACTTTGGTTTGAACAAGAACTTAAAACAGCATTTAAATGTGACTATGGATTATAATATAAACATATACATATATACGCATAATTAATTTATATATATAATATACAAATAAGTGCATATAATAGTAGCATGTTGTTTACAGAGAAATTAAGTACATAATGTATTGGTATGTGTGTGTAATTATTGATATTGAATATTTACAATGTAGCAATTAAAAGCGAATAAAAAATGCCATAATTACAAAAAAAACAAAAATACATTTTGTTGTTATTTGTTATGGGATAGCGAGGATTAAAAAAAAGTGCGCAGCTCTTATTCCCAGCTTTGGTTACGCCTCAAAGGAACAACAATCCATCTCTATATCGGACCAGTTGATCGGAACATGTATGAAATTCTAGATCGATGTATAGTAAGTGGAACTCATGCCGTAACTTATAACGGATTTCAATTTCTGTCTCACTAGAGTGTTAATCCATTTTAAGGTCTTAAAAGAAGTAAATTAGTGGTGCATAGCCAAACCACGAAGCGCCAACATCAAGCCGGATGTTCTAACAATTCCAAGACTTAAGCCGCAATCAACTTGAAAAAGTTCGTTTTTTCTAAAACTTTTTTCGACTAGGAAGGTGTTCTTAAGAGTTTGAAAAAACATCTTTAACTAATTAACTCGTTAAGTTTGTAGGCCATCCGCCTGATTAGAGCTGCTATTGAAGGCGAATAAAGTGAAGTTAAGCAGAGCTAAGCTGAATGGCGCATTTACGCGTATTATAACCTGTACCCGTTGCAAACAGGGTATAGTATTAGGTTTTCTTTAAATATGTAACTGGCAGATACATATATACATATATTCCTAATCAACATGAAGACAAAAATCGAATTAAACATGTCGGTCTATCTGTCCGTCCCCCCTAGATGAACTCCTGGAATTTTCATTGGGTGAACTTTTCGCTTATGCTATGCGAACATGCATTTAATTATGCATATAACGTTCTCAATGCTTTCTCTCGATTTAATTGTAATTGATGTTAGAACAAAATAAATAATTGTATGTCGGATTTGGTCTGCGCAACTACAATAGTTAATTGAAGAATAGACTTATGAGTTTAGTTATAATAATTGACAATATGTATTTAAGTGAATCTTTCCTTTTCTGCTCTCTATACACGATTCCATGTGTGTTATCTACAGTTACAAAACTTGACTAACTAAAAATAAAAAAATTTAAAATATATATAATTAATTAACAATAAATTAACTTTTTTAATCAATAGAGGCATATTGGCAGTTTTGAAAATAAATTGAAATTGTTCAACAATTTAAAGCGTGAAATCTTGTAATGCTATGAAGCACAGCTGTCATATGTTAGGCAACATCCGGCGGCCATTTACATACAATTGCAAAATACTTCCGGTGCAAAAAATGATAGTTGAGCGCGCCGTTGTTGCTGCAAAAAACATTTAAAGTAGCAGCAGACAAACTGTTATATATTCCGTTTTATTCAAATTATATCCAAATTGGTTGCCAGTTTGCTTTGCGTTTTTGTATAGTATTTTCGTTTTTTTGAACAGGCCTACATTTTTTAAGCGGAAAGTATTTTCTTTTTATTGATAAGGCTCGAGGTTAGTACAAGTAGAGTAGGAAGAAGTGCTGTCGCGGGCAAAATTTTATCAAAAATGTTTCTTTTGGAATTGTGCGAACAAGACATTCAATAGTGAGGCTGCTCCTATCATTGTGAGCTTGGGGCGAACTGCCTTGTTTTCTAATAGAACACAACATTTTAAAACTTAAAAAATAGCAATGATTAACTTACAAAAAAGGCAACAGCAGGGACTGCTCTAAAGAAGGCAAACATGACTGCGCGTAATGCGCTATAAAGTTCATTTTGTATTGCTAACTGACCGAGCTCAGCAAAAAATGGCTAACCATTCAAATACACAGAGCAACCAACGAACAAATAGATGTACACACTCGTCGTACAAAGCGGAAGCAACAGCAGCAGCAGGCAAACAAACGAACAACAGGAAGCACTCAACTAATGGCAGCATAATGCGTTTATTGTAGAATAACAATCACACATTTGTGTTTATGTATGTATGTACATACACTGTTTGTGTATATGTAGTGAGGTATGAATTGTACCAGCGATAAACGATGCACTGTGGTTCAAAAATACTTTTCTTTCTTGGAAAAATTCAAAAAAAAAAAAAAAAGAGAAAAAGAAATTTAAGCTCTTACCCACAATCTTCTAAACACTAATTAGTTTTTATTTCGTATTTCAAGTTTACGATCACTTGCCTGTTCAAGTGACTGAAAATCGAAAAGTTTTTCATTTTCAATCGAAGAGCTATTGCTTTGATTTTTCAGATCTGTTGGAAGTTTTCTTGATCAGCCGTAGATTTTTTATTCACATTTATAATTATTAATACTATATTAAAAAGTTACTTGATACTCAAAGTTTTGATTTATAAACATTCTGAAATAATAGACATATTTCAAAAACTGACATTTGCAATGTGAAGTTTGATTTCTTCTAAGCTTAAAAATATACAGATACGAGCAATTATTCTGTTAATTTCTGTTAATAGATTGATTATTCAATTAATTTGGTGTTTAAAAGACCATCACTGCGATAACAACCAGTGGCAAGGAAGGCTAGACCTGTTTGTCCGTTATATACAGGGAGCAGTTCTATCAATAATATTAGTAAAAAATTTGAAGCTTTTCGGAAAAAAATAAATATCCGCAGATGCATTCCATTTCTTTGCAATTTAAGACAAATAAGGCGAAATTATTCCATTATTAACAGCAAACGAAAATATATTCAAAATGAAGCAAAGAAATTCACAAATTAGTAACAACTCATAAAATCATTAAACGCAATCTTACTTAATTCCACAAGACATACGAAAAGTCTGAAGTAGATAAGTGAAGTGACAAGTTTTGAATTTTTAGTATGCCTGCAAAAAATGTCTCAATTATTGAAAAAAATTCGTCTCCATTTTTATAAAATGTCTAAGAATTGATAGTGATAGAGAGTATGTCCCATATTAACAGCAGTTCATATTTGTTAGTTAAAACGAAAGTTGCTCCACTGTGCAATAGTCGAGCACAGATGTCAACGCAAAAGTCAATCAGCATCTGCGAGCGGCGGGGTTGCAGACAGAAAACAAAAAGTGCGAGACTGCAAGTAGACAGACAGTCAGACGATTTGGGGGCTTCGAATTCATAGATATGTGCCGTCATCGGATTTTTAAAGGAGCCTCGATAGTTCGAACCTTTACAATCTGAATTGTCTTTAACAAACGTACACTAAATGTGCCATTTCTCCATAATACAGAAGAACATAAACATAGTTTAACCCAGGCATTTACTTTTTAAGTAAAAGAAAATTAATTACGGTGCAAAATTTCAAAATAGCTAGACTTCTGTGCACAAAAAAAAAGAACCAACAAACGATTTACTTGTAAAAGCATTAGGAAATTTATACACATATAATTAGCAGACATAAATCAACTTTATTATTTGGATGAGCTCTGCAAATAAAATTAAATGTATTCGTGTGTATCTGATCAGCAACAGCGGCTTCTTTTTGTTGGAAACTAATG